GTAAGATTTGCTAATGTTGCACACACTTAGAATTAAATCAAACGATGGAATGATAGTGGGAAAAAGATTAAACAACGAATAGAAACTTTGATTCGGTTCTTGCCAAATTCGCAATAAAATTCAGTTTCAACTGATTCGTAGAATTGTTTCTTAATATTCTGAGAATTATATTCTCCTTTAACCTTAAAATGGTTTAGATTTCTTTGCCTTCCGCGATTCTGGTACGACAGCAATTCCGGATCCTTCATTTGCAAAAAAAAGAGTAATCCGGAAGAAATTTAATAGTTTCAGTTGTTCCTTATTATAATTTCTTCTAAAAAATTGCACTAAAGTGTTGCAAACTGTTATAGTTTATCTTATATGCAAGGCTTTTCATTTAATAAAAACGAAATGAACCCATACTAAATGACAAAAATGCTAAATCATAAATTACTTTTTGAATTTTATTTCTTGAAAATCTTAGGTTATTCTTAAGAGATGTGAATAGTAAAAATGATTGGTTGTCCTACTCTGCTGCAATTAATCATGAATATTTCAAATGATAGCCTATTCTTATTCTACCTTACACTGCAAAACTTTATAGGCCGGACGATGTTCAAGGATGCATTTCTCTTCATTAGTTTCGGCTTCCGAATTCCTACTTCAATTTTAAAGTTCTTAAAGTCCGTAGTTCACAATCATCTTTTGTTTCTTTGATCGAGTAATCGCTATCATTTGTGAAAAATTTTCTTTCATATGATTAGTTACATTTTCATTAAAATTTTTTATTTCCTGATAAAACGGACTTGGCTTCATTGTCAAAAAAGTGATTGTTTTGGCAAGAAGCAAGAAAATATTTTAAAAACAATAGAAGATCAAATTTATGTTACAGAATACTGAAAAAAGCCGAAAAATGACAGCAGTAAAAGCAAAATTGTGATGAACATAAATATACGTCAAATGATTCATATTAAAAATAAATATAGATAGGAAGATTAACAATCAGAATTATTGAAAACAAAAGAAGCAAACAGACAACTTTTGATTCAATTTTTTCCAACAGAGTACCACAATATTTCGAAATTAAGCAGTATAACAAGAAAACAAAACATTGTGAAAAGCACTCCTTAAATATAAGTGTTATAAAAATGAATTCTTCTTTGATTTCGAAAAGTCGAATGTTAAATTTCGAACGATTGTCAAAAGAACAATTCTTTGATTCAATGTAACAGAAGCAAAAATTAAGCATTGGTAGTAAATGAACATTGCATTTGAAGAATCATTAATTTTAAAGTGTGGGAATTTTGAAGACAAAGCAAAATAGAAGAAATAGAAATGGAAACAATAATTTTACCTGGAAAACAATAATAAGTGAAGAAAACACTTGCTGCATAACCAGTCAGGTCAAACAGTTTCTTGAATTTTAATGATAATTTTAACAATGGCTTATTACGCTGTATTTCTATTGAGGAGAAAGAAAATGCATAAACAATTTATACAGATTTTTCAAACAAAAAAAAGGAAAAAAAAATTAGATATTAAACAAAAGTCTCTTTTCGATAAACTAGGAGTCGTTTTTCTTCGATACTTGCCACAAATTTCTCACCACTCCAACTTTCATAACGTAGTTCTGAATTTTAAAGATCTGTAGCTTGGCCCACTTTATATCGTTACATCCCGCCATTATCGTTTAGTGAATGTCGTCGGTCAGATATTCATTGTATATTTTATCAGCCAAACTTCTTACTTTGTAATATTCGCTGTTCATAAATTCTCTAATAAGTTCAAAGGCTTCCGACTGCTGAAATAGACAGAAGTATACTTCACAAAACTTTAATTGGTGTTCGAAATTTTGCAGTTTACTGCGATAATACTGTTTACATATATACATTTCTAAAGAGGTCGAACTATGATAATTTAAAAAACAGAATTTCATTTAGCGACGAACCCTAATATATTCCTTTGCTATCCTTAACCGTCTTTTAGCTCTCCCCTTTGAACACGCTTTGAACATGCAATTAATAAGGCCAAGAGAGCATGCTATATAACTATTATTCTCGCTTTTGAAAATTTTGCATATTTTTTCAAGGTATGTTCGATTAGCTAATGTTCTGGCATTCTTTCGTTCAAGATTATTGCACATGCTTGTTAATGCTCTGTATGCTTCTTTCTTGTAAAGTGAAGAACCCTGAAAAATCTGATTCAGTTTAAAGCTCAAATTCATTTCAATCCATCTACAGCTCAGCTACTCTTTCACTTACATTACTTAAAAATATACGAAGGAAGCAATAAACAAACTACAAACCGCTTCTTTAAGATGGGATATTTTAAGCAAAAATAAAAAGAAAATCTTCGTAGCACATTTATCTATTAAATGCAACAACTTGTCAAAGCGTTATGCGTATAACAAATTCATTTAGGAATTGTGATTTAAGTTCGTAGAAATTTTTTTGTTGTATTTCGATTTTTTATATCTACCCTCTTAATGAAATGCATTTTTTAATTATACTTTTTTCTGGATAATCCTTACTTACCCTCGAGTTTACCAATCAAAATATTTCATTATAGTAACTTACCCGATCCATAAGTCCAAGAAGCAACAGTACAAATCCTGATTCCAACACGGGTTCTATGTATTTCTTATTAGACAGAAGACTTGTGATCACTGCACAAATATCAAGACCATACTTTAAAGACATATTTTGAAGAAGAGACATGAACTTTCTTATTAATCCTGCTTTAACGATTGCCTATAATACTGACATAAATTTAAGTGGGAAACATACTTTTAGCTTGCTTATGCATCTTTTATTTTATTACACTATCATCTTATAAAATCTAAGATATTTATATTCGGAAACGTGCTTTCATCAAAAAAATCTCTTGATTTTTTTTATAAACGCGTTGCAGAGATAGCTACTCCAAATGTCTGAGAGGTCGAAATTTGAAAATCTTCAAAAGCTGACAGTGGAACGCTCGAAAAATCCCAAACAGTGTATAACTACCAAGCTTATTTAAAAAAAGTGATTTTCCGAATAATAATTACATCGGTATTGCAGTTGTTTTGTTTTGCAAACACTTCAATAATATTAAACGAGGCTCTAATTTCATTGTTGCGTGCACTATCGAGAAATCTCATAATGAGCTCCACATAATCATCTTCAAAAGTAAGAGTAAAATCCTTGTTAGTAACCACATTCAGTATAGCTCTCAGAGCACTTGTTCGGATCTCGTTCTCCTAAATACCATTTGTTACTTCAAAAATAAGCCATGAAAAGGTTTAGAGAGCGTGAACTCCATGTAAAATAAAGAAACTGTAATGATTAACTACTACTAATATTAGTTGAATATTCAGGAGATTTTCGAATAAGAAAACGGTTTATAGAATAATCGAGCATTGTCAAGAATTGAGCAATCCGTTACAGATAGAGGATGGAAATTTAAGATGGACAAGAAAATGCAAAATGAGCTGACAATCGAGAAAAATGCGCAATTTTCAAGGCAAGATTATTGATGAAACATTACACTTTTTTAATATTTTACCTGCGGTGCGGGTAGATTGCAGAAATTAGAAAAAGAAGTCTACCTCATGCCGCAAAAGATAACGAGCACTACTGGCAACATATTTCAAGACGAATTCTGGGACTGGCTTAGGACTACACAAATCTTGCAGAAAGGTTGTGACAACGCGTGCAAATTCTTTGGAAATCGTTTGATAGTGCTTCGACAGCAATTCGCGTATGTGCAATGACCCACAAACTGCAATGACGTCGCGCATAGCAGCACTTTTGATAGTGATAGACGAGCAAACGTCGATAGCCTGAAAATTCATCACGTAACAGAGTTTTGTGCTATTGCAATGTTAGTAATACTTTGAACTATTTTATGATTAATAAAGAAGCTAATTAGAAATTTCGATCTTACTAACTGAAAACCCTAACATAGTTTAGTTCATAATTATAAATCACCTATGTGTCACATTCTATACCTTCTGAACGATGCGAAGTACTTCGCTTTGAAGTAGAGTTGTAAGGCCTGTCAACAGTCCTCGCGGTATCAAACTTTTCAATTGATCTTCATCCATATGTACGACAACTATGGACAAAGCATGTATCGAATAATACTGGATGGTATGGTTCTGCAGCAAACTTATTAATAGCACTGTCAAAAACTGCAACAACTAGAGAAAAATAAATAGAAAATCGTAGGTTTTCACTCCTGACCTTGGTAATAAAAGAAGTGCTGATCTTATTTTTATTTTAAGAAAAAATACATCACGAATAAACCTGGAATTGAATCCCCTGAACCAAAAGCACATCCAAACTTTGACGATATATCTCATCAACTGGTGATTGAAAGTTGTCAACAAGTACATTGAGAAGTTGTAAACCACGTTGAATATTTTCTAATGACGGTCTTTTTTTACGGAAAATTTCTATAATTTCTTTGCCAACTGGTTTATTAGGATCTGAAAGTGGAGTGTTTTATGAAAAGTGTAGATAATTAAAGGATAAATGAGTAGAAATACTAAAAAAAAATGTATATGCTATCTAAGCTTGTGCATGCTATCCTATATATTAACGTAGTTCGCAAATTTTAAAATAAAATTATAAGGCATATATCATGTAGAAAAGTTAGTTATCAAAATATTTCTAAAAAGAATTATTTCAGACAAACTTACGACGTCCATACTTCGGTTTCAGGCATTTCTTACAATTCACAGTTTTAGCTGAGTACCATGAATTATCGTCATCTGAAGTTTCATCACATTCATTGCCCCCAAAATGGATATTTTTACCACGTACTGATGGCTTGAAAAGTTGATGTTTTTGACTGTGGTTTCTTCCTTTCTTATTCATTCCTTCTCAAATAATTACTGTTAAAATAACTATAAGTAAAATAATATGAAAATTAATCTATGGAAATAATATAAAGGCAAAGACAATGTTTACGACTAAAACTCGACCAATTTCTACATCTTTGTATGATAATTAATGCTTATCTACTGGAAGTTACACTAACTACACTTCTAAAATAGTTAATTGATATAAGGTAATGCAGAAAGAGACTAAAAATAAGTCACAAAACAATATCGCCAAAGGACAGAGAACAACTGCTCGATGAGGAGGAGTCCTTGAGGTCAAGTTCAAGTATATGAATTCAGCGCCAATCGCTCGTGGGTACACTCCAGGTGCGCGGGCTAAGTGCGATTCTGGACGAGCGATCCTTGCTCCCCTTGTCTTGCACGACTTTTTCTGTTGACGAACAGTACATGACACGTTTCTGTGCCATATGGATATGACGTATGTCCGCTTGATTTCACGTGCTGTATATGACGTCACAAACCTATGCATATGACACACGCTTTTACATTTCAAAATCCAAATTCATACGTCTTTTCATACATACTCATATACGTCACTTTACTTAGAAACATATTGACAAAGTAAAGTTACTTCGATTTCTCAATTAAGATAATTACTGAATCTTAGTACTTATTGAATTATTTAAATAAAAGTTGCCGATGAGAATTTGAAAGGTTAAACTTCCAAAAAAACGGGTATTTACATACCCGATCCATTACACTATTAGTACTGATTTTAATCAAATAGCATAATGTATTTCTGGAATAGCAGTCTGGAATAGATTTATCCGGTTTCTGTTGTCAGTATGCGTTCTGCAATCTCTTTACTTTTACTATTATTACAAGCACCTGGAATTCGGAATATTGCAAATAGATTATTTTATACTATGGTATGGTAGTGTCAGAAAAAGATGTAGTCCTGGTCCGGAATCCCCAAGAAAAGTCGAACCGAAGTCAATACTTAACCGAAATAATAAGACATACTATCAGCTACCTTTCTCTTTCCCTTTTTCTCCCATTTCATAGCACTGATCGAAATTCTACTTCCATTAGGAAATTTTTAATTAAGAAATTACATTATTTCATTTCTTGCTTTGATAAACTTTTAATTCGCTGCACTAATGAAGTAAATAGTTTGTTTGAATGAAAAGGAAAGCTTCCAGTATAAAATATAAATTTGTCATCCAACTATCGGTGCAGAAAGTTAAATGACTTATTGTTTTCCTTAAATGAATATTAAGTACTCAGAAATTTGATGACGAAAAATTCCGATCTTCATTAGGTTTATATCCGAATTGTTTCGTCTTGTCTTGTTTGGTTTTTTAATTCGCCGCACTAATAAAGTAAACATTTTATTTATAATTATATAATGAAATTGTCAAGACTCAAATCAAGCTGCACTTTACATTTGAAACGCAATTCCTGTTTATGTACACTTCCTAAACCACAATAAAGTTTACTTCTTTATTTGATTCAGTTTTAAATATATTCCTTTATTTTTTTCATACTTTTTTTTTTATAATATGAAGCATTATATTGGAACTTGAAATGATAATGGACTTGTTATTCTCAACACTGAAATGTAGTAGAACAACTGAATGAAATCTTATAGATACTAGAAGGTACAGAAATAAAATTCTTCAGAAGATTTGTTCGCAATAAAGTTTAAAGTTTCAGTGAAGTGGAGAAGAATGTTGGTGACATGAATTACTCTGTATTTACTTCAGCAATTATAAATAATTAAATATTTGCATAATCCTAAAACGTATATTTAATTATCTTGTGATATATGCGTGACAGTTCAGGTATTATAAAACTTCCTAACTAAAGAATGAAACTTATTCGCTTATATCTGATTGTTAATGGCTGTATGACTGACAACAGGTGGATGTATAACAATGAAGAAATGTGGACGAATTTCGGATTCTCGGCAAAGCGGCACTTCGTCATCTACCACTGCACAATTCACAACACCATCACTATGGTCAGGTAAGTTAGGTAATGCCTTTTTCTGTCAAGATTGGAAATTAAAAATGATCAATAATAAGAGATATAGAGAGTGAGAATTATGAAGGAACTAGTAAGTAGAATTAATAAAATTTCAAGCATTTTAAATCATTTAATAATAAAATTAGTCATTGAAACAACTTTCTTATAGCACATTTTTAGTGCCACTTTGAACTTTTGCAATCCATGCATCTTTATTACTTCTTTAAATTACATAATCCATTTATAGTGTAAGTAAGATTTTCACTCAATTCATTCGTTTCTTACATTTCAGAATCTTCATTATTGTTTGGTAGATCTAAAGGACGATATCTGGCGTTGACAGTAAGAGGTGATGAAGAAATGCAAGTGATTCCGCATCGAATAGTAATGCTTGGTGACTGTTCCAGTGGTGTTAGCTTGCTAAGAAGTGAATTGGCAAAATTGAATTGCTTTAAAGAAATCCCATTCTCTGCAAGTATTTCTTCAAATTTCAATCATAATCAATATCTTCGTCATCTCTCATATTAATGTCATAAAAAAGGGATCCAGTCTAGGATATTTAATATTTAGGAACAACGTCTCTTCTTGATTTCAAAGAGATTGAAAAGATGCAAATGAAATTCTATACTGAAAAACTTATCTCCCTTTTTTACATAAAATGAATTGAAATGATGTATAGGATGCCGAGTGTTGTACAACAGTAACACAAGATGGACGTGAGATGCAGATGTGGCTTTTTGTTGATTTGCATAATTTTGAAATGTTTTGCAAACAGTGCACCGAAAGCATCGATTGCTGTGTAGCATGCTATTCGATAACAACTGGACAAACTTATCGGAGTGTCATCGAGGAAGTTAAAATCATCACAATTGTTGCAAATTCAATAAAAACATTTTTTTTAATTTTTATTTCATAAAATTTTTGCTTACAAACTCAACCGTGACTATCATTATTTTTATAATTTTTCACTATTACTTTAATTTTTATTCTAACTTCACTTCAGTTGCATGTAATTATAAATTTTAAGTTATAACTTAGTCAAAGGTACGTCAGAAAATCATAAAAGCTAGTTTTTTTTTTCTTTTACAGTGGATTCCTGAATTTATGAATATGTTTCCTGGAAAGCCAATCATCTTATGCGGATTGGACAATTCTGAAGTATGTACATGTAGTGGCGGCATGCATGAAATAATGTTTCAACATGATTTCAATTTTTGCAGCAGTCACCTTATACAAATGGATGTTTCCATCTTCGATAAGGTATGATGCGAGTCAGCATGGTGTCATCATTATTACCTCAGCAACTGCTGTCAAATATGTTAATGTTGTGAAAAGCTGAATATTGTGGAATTTTGTTTCAGCGCAGTGTGAAATCATTATATAACTGCATAAAAAGTACTTCAAACAATCCGAAATTTAAGCATAAGAAGGCTTGTAACTTAATGTGATCCATACTATTCTTTCTTTGTATTTACCATTTATTTAAAATTAAAACTCATTAAAATTACGAAAAGCCATTAATAAACACAATTCATATCTGAAATATTTCACGCAGAAATAAGTGAAAATGGCTGACAATAAGAACAGAGAACTTTGAGAATATTTTACATAAATTTAATGAATTTTATTTCCATATGACTTAATTATATGAAATAATATCTCAATTTGGCAAATTAGAACGCAATTTACTAAATTGAAAAATTGATAGATGCACTTGTAAAACTTTTCAAAACGTTGGTATGATTGACTCCAAAGCAATAGAAGAACTCGCGGATGTCGCGTAAAGCACTGGAAAACTGCAGGTCAACGGGAAAATATCACTGATTGGCAAGAGGCTTTGTCAAAAACAGAAATTTGTGAAATAATGAGTACATGAGACGTAGTGATTGCAAATCGCTGCCACATTAGATAGATGATCTCATGGTCTGATTACACCGAGATTTTGATGTTAGTGAATTGGGGTTATTTGTTGGGTTGGATTATTCTACCTCATTAAATATGAGAATTTCTTTACCTTTGCTTACCAATGAACTTAGAGCCTGGTAATAATTCCCTCATTCCTCACTCTTTGAAAATATGGAAGATATAAAAAATGTGGGAAAGATGAGAAAGCATTCTACTGCTCAACAACATTGGTTGTGGAGGTGTTTTAATAAATTAAAATTCAGATAAATGTCTTACAAAAAAAAAAAAAAAAAGATTACCCTTTTTTGGACGGAGAATAATTTATGTAATGATAAGGGTTATGCAAGAAATCATTTCTTCCCTACCTCATTGCATAGTTCTGTTTTTCAGAAACAGAAGCGACTGAATGATACAACATTCTTTGTTTACATAGTAAGTGAAACAAATACAGTTTGAGTGTCAACACGCCTTTTTTTTTCTTTTCTACGAAATTTAAATTAGTCCTAAAGTAGCAGTCATTCCGATAATATTTAAAGCTGGAATCTCATTGGTGATTTTGAATCCTATTGATTTCCCATTTTATTTTTAAACAGCAAAAATGTATCGATTATTCATGCAGTAGCATTGATGACTGTCATGAGCTTTGTCAAATGAGTTTCATTTAGGTGTAAATCCTTTGCTTCAGCCCCTGTTTTTGCTGTGACAGGAAAAAAAATTGTACTTGACGTATTGTGGTTCAGGTCAAGGACAGTTAATGTTATGCATTTGAAGAACAAAAAGGTGCTTTCCCCTTTCTCTTTTTCTTTTCCTTTCTCAAGGACGAATGTAAGAGGGTACTGATAATTTTAGTTGGCTGGACTTTAATTTTCTAATAAGACTTAAGCCATGAAAGTACATAGAGTCACAAGGATTTTATGGAAGAGATTTGAAATGTTTATCCATTTTTATCATGCTTATTTTTGTGGAATAATCGTTGTTTTTCAGAATTAATGAAGTGATGCGGGAGGAAGCTGCTGCTATATCCACTAAGGTTTGCATTCATTTATGACTTCTATTAGTTGCCATCATTTAGCAATTAAAACCGACTTGGAAAATAACGGGATGTATAAAATCAAGAGAATGCTGTCATCATGATAGAATTTTATTACGTATTTGTTAATTTTAACTCTACTTTCCTGATATAGAAGTTTACATGTCTTAATACTTGTTTAACTCATATTTGTCGATTATTTCAGCTAAATTTGAAACTTTGTATCATCTGCACTTTTTCTTTATTTTATTTTCGTTCATCATTTGGCATTTTTGTTGCTTTATGCAGGGTTGTTTAATTATTGCACGCGGAATGGCAGGATGTATTTCTCAAAAATGGAGTTTAATAATCCGTCTTTTAGGTGTATTATTATTTGGACGACAGTACTCCATATTTATCTGTAGTGCCCGTTGCAGACGATGCCATTACGCTTGGTGATTTTAAGAAAGTTTTTAACAAGAAAGGGTACAAGTATTTTTGCAAACAGCTGGACGAAGCAGTTGGATGGTTAATGTTTCGAATATCATTTTTGATACAGTTGTATAAAACACTTTATTTTAGGCAAAGTTTTGAAGTTTGTATAAAACATATCTGAAATTTCCATTTAAATGTGTATTTTTGTCCCTCCATATTTTCGATGTATATGAGATAAATACATAATTTATTTAGTGAAGTAAAAGTAGAAATCCGAGATGATTCGACGAAATTGGTTAAATCAGCAAATGGACTCATCGAATTGGTTCTTCTTTCCTCATCCGATAACGTTCACTGTTCAGGAACATTACCAAGAGTATCTAACAAAACAAACAAAGGACAACTCACTGGTGCTAAGTTGAAGGTATAATTTGCTTTTGTCAGGTTTCAGAAACTTCTGAAAAAAGATATGAAATTACGATTGAGCTGGTTTTGAAACCTATTACTTGAATCAAATTATTTTAAATTTTAAGGATTTCAATTTGAGAAAACGAAGGTCTTTGCATGATCTAGCTAGTGAAAATCGTGATTTGTTGCGTATACATCGGAACAAAAGTGATGAAAACAGCATCACGGCAAGCAGTTTGTCGACAGTGATTAGTAGTAAGTGAATTTTCTGATATGAACTGTAGGTAAACCTTTTTTTCATTTCACTAAAATTCGAGTACTGACAGTAGTGACTAACTTAAGAGAATTAACTTAACCTAAGAGAAACCACTTAAAAACAGAAGATAAGGAAGGATTGGTTTTGCTGACGCAGATTATATTTCTTTAAGTAAATTTAATCGTTAGTATTACAAAAGTTCTTTTCCATTGTCTTGAAATTTGCGCTACATGCAGTGGAGCATGAAATGAATCATTTCAATCTTTTAAATTATGTTCGTCCGGGATATGAAATAATATCAGAGTATTTGAAACTTTAATAATTTAGCGAATATGAATCGCTGATTTTCTCACTTTTGATAATTCTTACTTTTGTGGAGTGTTGTAGGTCATAATGTTTTAGAGAAAAGATTATGAAGTTCAAATTCGTGATTTTTTTTTATAATTAGTAATCGTAAGAACTTCCGGGATCCTATTTGCTTGTTTGTTGGGTTTAAAAATAAGCAATAATTTCAGAAAGGGCTGGTGAAGGTTTGGCAGAATTGTATGCATCAAATTCAGAAGATCCATACCATCTAGAAGATGTGAATTCAAGGTAGTTTTGTGACTTATTTTAAAAACATCAAACAGCTTAGTTACTGTCGTCTGATTTTTTTCGTTACAGATATTTCAAACATCCTGGTGCTTGTGCACCAGTCTTTCCTGCTTCACCGCTTGCTAGTCCCAGTGGGGTACTTCCGTGTCCTCGCCGTCAAAGACGTCCCCGCAAAGAAAGATATCGAAAAGCTTATGTACCAAGCACAATTTCGTCAGTAACTGAAAGCAGGTTATATATGAAATTGGTTTTGGAAGCTAAAGTGGAAAATCTCTGGCCGATTTTCAATCGATAATCTGCTTAATTATTCTCAATAGCTTTGTATTTTGGTGGCACATTAATTTACTTTGTTGTATAAATGTTATTCTTCAGTATGACTTCTCTTTCACTTCCTCGAATCGATGTTATAACGCTACCAATGAAAAATGGAGTTTTCTTGGGAATTTCTGTACTAAGTCACGATGGTGGCATTTTTGTTAGTGATGTTCACAGCGGTTAGTATTATTATTATTTTATTCGTTTTCTAAATTATTTTTTGGGATATTGAAGAAAATTGAAATTCATGTTCCCTACATAAAACTTCAGTCATTACTGTCACAGGTGGAATAGTTGATTTGGATGGTCGGATTGAAGTTGGTGATCAAATTGTGCAGGTGAATCGAAGTTCATTCGAAAATTTAAGCGATGTTGAAGCAGTTGATTTATTGCGTAAAGCAGCAGCTAGTCGAAAGTTAGCTGTTTTAGCTTTTATCTTTCCTCATTTGCTTTCAACATCTTTTATCGAATGTCAATGTTCGAAATGCGTCATTTTACTGGTGCTTTATTTAGCTATACTATTTCAGGCCAATCACACTTTATGTTGCTAAAAGGACGTGCAGTAATTCAGATAAGCGAGCAGATATACTCTCAGGGATTGCTTCAGAAACGATGCCCATAGATATATCACTTTGGGTGGAGAGCACTAAGTAAATCTTTTTTTTCTTAATACTCAAAATTATTTCAGTGTTGACTCACATTTCTATTTTTTGAAATAAAATTTATGAAATGTTACAACTCAACTTTGTCGTCATTCTGAAATGGATGTTCAGACACAATATTGTGCGACCACCGAAAGGTCTTGAGGAGATGGTTTCGGTCAATGATGGTGACACTACGCTTGTCGCTGAGGAAGCTGAAACTGATCTAGAAGGTGCTTATGCAGAGCGACGAAACGGACATATTCCAAGCAATCAGAATTGTGTGAAATTGAAGCAATTGAATCCACCCGACTTAAATGTTTCATTGAATATTGAGGATATTGCAAGACGACGAGAAAATGAAGAAAATGGTTTGTAAATATTTGATATTATGCTTGAAAACAAACGAAGAACGATTCCTATGCTATGCTAAATTTGCTTTTAATTTTCTTGAATTAAACTGATTTTGTAAGCTTTTTTCGAGAACCCATATTCAATTGGTTACGAAATGCTGGACGTTGTCTTGTATCATATGTGACAGCGGCATTGGTCGATTTTTTTGCTTGTTTTACTGCGTACAAATTACAGAACAGCAATTGGATAACCTAAATGTTGATATGGATCCGGTGATCATTCTAAAGTATATGGCTTTACCTAGTTCAGGGCTGCAAATAAAGAATCGAAAATGGCTGAAAATTCCTGTGCCGATGTCTTTCATTGGTATGATTTTCTGTAGAAGATATTTAATGCTATCTCATCTAACATATAGTTGTAACACTGATTTAAGGCTGTGACCTTGTTGATTGGTTGATGGAACACGTACACGGTATCACGGATCGTAAAGCAGCGCGTATCTATGCATCAAAGCTCTTAGCAGAGGGACATATTAGACACGTTGTTAATAAACTTACATTTACGGAGAAGTGCTATTATATTTTTGAAGGTTGTGTTAGTTGTTTTTAAAAAACTCTAGTAATTTTATTCTAGAAAACTTGAAACAATATATTTTCGATACTTTTTATTGCTACAATAAATTTATGAAAGAAAATGTATAAAAACAAGTCGTTATGTGCATTGCTTAGAGTCATTATTTTACATCTTTTAGATTTAGAATTATATTAACCAATTTCTTGTTTGAGAAATTCTTTTCTTTTCAGATTCAATACTTTCTGTTCGTAACAAAAATAAATCGGATTCTTCGTTGGGTAAAGCCGGTGCTGAAGTTACTACCGAGGTGACCTATGTTGGTTCACCAGCACCAGCACATCTATCTCGTACTAGTGCACGAAATACACTTGGTGGAAAAGCTATATTTGATCAGTCTTGGCCTCACTTAACGATCACATCAAGCGAGCAGCGAAAAAGTTTTTGCGGCAGCTCAACGGTCATATAGATGTCATATTGTTCATATAACATGGCTCTACTCTTGCTATGATGAGCTTTAGTTCCTAATGTTTTCAGATCATTTCTCATGTTTTTCATTTTTTAAAATTCGAATTACAGAATGACTATGCATCGGTCATGGGTCCAGACATGATTGATTCTACACTTCTTACTGAGGCACCAACACTAAAGCTGTCACACCGTACACTTCCCAATCGTTTGGATATGGAACAACGAATTAATGGATGTGAGGTAGATATATAATCAAACAGAGTTTTACCGAATTAGCAAAAAAGGAAAAATGAATTGCTAAATCTTACATTTCAATTCTTTATAGCAAACATTATTTTTTTTTCCAAATAGATCACTGAAATATCTGAAGAAATTGTATTTGACCAAGTTGCTCAATTTTCAGGTTGCTCAACCACCAAATACACCAAATTCACTGCTGCATGAACAAAGGAATGCTGACAGCGAAACTGAGTTTGAAACAGTTGAGGATAACAAATTTTTGGTGATACAAAAATAACTTTTAACCACCAAAAAGTATTTTTTGTTCATTTATCTCATGAACTACCTAAAATATAAGTAGCAAACTTCGGTCATGCAATAAGAAGCAAAGGAGCTCAAAATAAAATCTGTAACTGGAAGGAAAAAGAGAAGTTTTTGAATGGATACTGTGAACGTTTTCTGCAAGTGTTTTTGTTCTTTTATTTTAATTGTAATTTTATTTCATTCTCATCCACGAAATGTGCATTATGTTATTAGAATGAAGCAACTGATAATGTTTTGTTTATAATCTCTTTTTGGCATATAATACAAATTCATGCGTGCCGTATAATCTTGCATTCTTATCATATTTAAATCTAAATATATTTTAGAAATACAAGCTATCAAGTTTGTCGGCCAGTTACAACGCAATCGTTTTGTCGTCCTTCGGTAAACACGAAGTAATATGCAATTAGAAATATCAAAAATCCTAGTGGATAGAATAAACGACAAAAATTGTCCAAATACCTAGAAACAAAACTTTGATGCGAAAATTGAATTAGGCTGTATTGAAGAATGCAGTTATGAAAAGCAGGAAGGAAGTTTGTTATTCGATTGACTAATGAAAAGCTAAAGTGACTATATAATTGTTCGCTGACCTGCCACGTTTGTGGTACTGTTCAGCTCTAGCCAACATAAGCTCCCGTGATTGTTCCGTTAATTCACTTTTCTTCTTCGCTGCTGATTTCCTCTAGACATAAGCTTATTGTAATATTATAAAAGGGATTTACGTAATTTGTGGTTGGTAATGATTGCAAGAAAAACTCAAACTATCTAGCAACTGACCAATTGCTTGGCTCGTTTATCCAATGCAATAACAATAAGTGTTTGGAGAAGCGTGATAAACACAAAAGCTGTGATGAAGCCAAACCATAAATCGATTGCCTGAAAAAAGCATTTTGTTGCATGGAGGAGAGAATTTCTAATTTTTTTTATGATGTATAATCCACTTTTAGCAACTAAAGCAACCTTCATGTAAGAAACGCTCGGAAGATGTTCACGAGCACCGGCTGATTCCGTCGATAACGTTAGGAGTACAGTGATTGCCACACCAATACGTCCCTCCATAAATTCTTCGGGAAGCCATACACCAACCTATCAGATTTAAAGTCTGTTTTATGAACTGACAGTGATTCCAAATATTTCATCAAACAATAGCAAAAGTACCCATGAAAACATTAGTGCGAGTGAAGTTGGTATGTAAGTTTGAGCAATGTGGAAACCAACATCGCGTTTTAATCGAAAAATTGCCTTCAAACAGGAAAAATGACCTGAAAATACGACGAATTGTGTGGAAATGGAAATTAAGAAATAGAGACTCCTAATGAAGAACAGACAGATAAAACGTAATTATTAAGAAGGGACAACAGTGACCTTTATAAGACTGAAAAAAGTAGTCAGGTTAGCTGAGTTATTTTATTTAAAAACTTGTTGCATACTGCATTATTTGGTAATTTCTTGCCTTCAGTTGCTAGTATTTTAAATATCATAATATTTCATTCATTGCTTGGCGATTTAAAGTTTGGAAGAATGCATGAAAAATCTTGAATTCTTCAAATTTTTGTCTTTTAAAGAGATTTTGCAATCATCGAAACTTGCTGAGATAGTTTATTTGAAATACCTGATTTTCTGGTCCTTTCGCAATACGTCGGTTCGTAACGATGAATATAAAGCTCAGGCAGCGTTACGTCTGGATTCTTGTCAATTGCGTCACGTTTATTTGAAAACCATTCAAATCGTACAGTTTTTGTAGGATATGCAACTGAAATTATGCCATATTTAAGCGAATACTTGTAATATTTTTATCACAATATTACCAATCAACTCTTGGCTTTCTTGCTTGAACTTTAAAGGAAAAAAGATCTTTTAAAAAACTTTAATTTACCTTTTACAAAAATAGTTTCAACACACTTACAAGATTTAATCTTCAATTCACAAGTTTGCCTATCGTGCGGATATTTACAGAGCACAAGATTGCATGATGGCTTTAGTTTAATTCTGAAAATAAGAAGGAAATGACTTCTTTGTTCAACCAATAGTCTTTTTATAAGTTAGTCACATATGTATTTTGATTGATAGCAATGATATAATCTATGTATGATATGATAAAGTAAAATTGTAATGAAGATCCGAAAAGGCAAACCTTGTCTCATAGAGAACTAAGCCGTCGTTATAAATTCGCATCAGAAAATTTAGAAAAGTAACTTCATGGAAAGAAGCTTCCTTAGCATTAGCAAAAAATGGATCAGGTCGCCAAATTTTCTCCAAAATTTCTTCCTCTTTAACAAGAATAGCTTTCTCATATGGATTTACCAGTCGTGCATCACGCCAAGCCATCATCAAAAAGATATCCATATCATAATCCTGCAAGTAAAATAGACTGCAAGCGTCTATTTTATAAAGGTAATGAATTTTTAAATTGAAACTCAAAAAAACCTACAAAATTTTAAACTGGAAGTTGCATTCGAGCAGTATTTATTGATTCATCAGAATAAGTTGCGTTTATCAATAAAACATATTTTATCTTTTGTATAGAAAATCAAATTAAATGATACCATAGTAGAAGTTTGAAAATTACTCATCGACTCAATATAAATTCCGAAACGAACAACCACCGCACTACCTTGAAAAACAATAGGTGCCGAAAACGGATCATATTTGTTCTTCTGAAGAACTGGCAAAATGAATGAACCACCAAGAGTTCTGAAATTTGTAAGGGGATGATTCAAAAACAGTCATTTATGCCTTTTTAAGAAAGTTGGATATTTTTTAATTAAGGTTTAATTTTAATTACTCTAATATGGTGTATTTACAACACTCTCTGATGTCAGCTACCAAAAATATGGCAATATTTAATAATTCCGATAAGATAACATCGAAATTCAATAAGAATCTAAATCTAAAGTTTGGCTGTTTAACTAGTACCAGTTTTTTCCTAATTACCTGAGTACATTATAAAAGCCAAACAGATTTTAGGTATGATAAAAACATCATTGTAAAATCTTGAATAAATATGAATATACCCATTCTCGGACATTGTTCTATTAAGTATCATATCGACTTCAGTATCGTTCCGTAACTTCTCAGCTAATTCTGTTAAATTAACACCAGATAATGATAACGTTGTTATATTCAATCCTATCGGGCCCTCAATATCCACTCCTGCAATTTTACTAATGAAAAAGATAATAATTAAAATCAAGAAAAGATATTTATTCACTAAATTCCATAAAAAACTTTCACCTCGTACAATTTCTATCCAAAATGAGGCAAAGTATAACCTTCAAACTCGGTTGCATTGAACTCATCAACAGCGCTTGGCACGAAATCAGCGCAAATACCATCAAGGAATAAGCCAATAAGTTGATGTCGTTTAAATACGTGTTTTGCTATGTTTAGACGTAATGCTTGAACTGCTTCCCACTTATTTATAATCAATCGAGCTCTGCAATGAGGTAGGTCATTTTGTAATTGAAAATAATTCAACCTCTTAAGGTAACAAAACTTTCTTATCATCGTTCTACTAATAATGAACTACTCATTCTATCCACCACTGTCGGTAATCTGAATCGCGCATCTGTTTCGGTCAGCTCGGAAATAGTTCCCCATTTACTTAAGTTTCTAACGAACAAACTATCCAAGCGCTACTATCCTATGTCAGAAAAACCGAATTACAACATACAGAAATAAAATTATAGATTAAAGATGTTTGAACATTTTTTGGACAATTGTTCCAATGTCACATAAGAAATCATTTATCTAATATTCATCTTCCAATATCATTTGCATTATATGTTAACAAAAAATATGTGTTGGAATTGGTCCCCAATTGTTTACAATTATCAATTCTCAATTTACTAACCTCTTCTGTTGTTTGTCATTCTTGTTAACTGTAAATTATATTCGAATTTGACAAGGTTTTCGTTTAGCTGACTCCTTTGCCGTCATGTTATGAACTAATGATTACTAATGCTTACCTTTGTCAAGGTGAGGTTTTCTGGACAACGATCTGGCACTCATTGCCTTCCTACAGCCAAATCCTCAATCTTCCTAGTATTGTTCAACAAATATGATCAACGATAATCTTTAATTCCAATAAAATAAAGACTGATTAAACCTCTCCTTCTCCACAAACTATTCGGCTCTACAATCTGCTCGAAACAGATCCCATTTCACGTTACCTTATCAAGTTATGTAAAAGTTGTGATTACTCTAATTTAAATTAAAAAGGATTTACTGCTGTTGACCGGCATCTATTTTGATTACAACTGGCGCTTTTAAACCCTTACGATCATCACTGGCAGCCTGATTCTCTTTCTTAATTACTTCGTCAGAATCCTCTTGAGTATCTGTCCATGAATCCTAAAACAAACGAATAGATGAAAACAAATTCCATCCTCAGTGTCCCAAACACTAAATTTATTTAGCGAAGAATTCAAGTAGTTTGTGCCTCTATTTGAATTCAGAAAAATGAAAACCTTATCCAAATATTCTGAATCATCCTTACTGTCGACAGACGCTAAATTCAAAAATTCGTCGCTTTCATCACTACCACTGTCTTTCTGAGAAGTCTCCCTGAGATATCGAACCAAGCTGCGTTTACCAAGCTGATATTCCTTTTCTGTACTGCAGTGAACTCGTACTATATGCTCTTTATATATTTCGTCTAAGATATGCACAAAGAAATTCAAGTCTGAACCTTCTGTTCAGTAGCCTATTTGCCATCAATCTTACATCAATTATTACCTTTTATTCTTCGATAAAGTGATCGGTGTAACTGTTTCAAACGTTATATTGTCGTTAGATATCGTAGATAATTCTAGAAATATCTAGTTAATGTTGCAATGAATTAACAATATTAATTTGGAGAGTCATCTGTCTTTCTTCAAAAAGTTCCCATCTTTATTAATCCAAAATTCTATTTTCTTTCTGACAGCTAATTGCTTTAGTGAATCCTGAAATTGTTCACGAATATAAAACATACCGTTTAAGATAGTAGTGGTATTATGCACAATTTCGTTTAAAAGTTGTTCAAATTGCTGCAATTTTTCCTCACTGGGATGCAATTCTTCCTACAACGAATTGAATCAAACTGCTTTTACTAATAAATTAGAATAGCAGTAAACAGTTTTGATCTATTGCTTAATAAAATGAAAAGTTGTTGATATTTCAAAGCAGCAAAGGGGAAAACAGTTTCTGTGCATTTCTTCCGACTTATCAAAACAGAAATTCAAAAATTTTTAGCAGAAACTATTGCTTTTAACATCTCCTAACCATAAATATCAATTTCTAGTGGTAAAGAATACCTTAAATGGGTCGCAGATAAATGAATCTGTTTTTGTTATTCCCAGTTGTCGCGCATCTTCAACTGTTGAAAACCATAATTCCCGTGGATAATTTTTACAAATTTCTTCGAAGACAATCATAATTTTCTTGAAATATTTTTCAGATAATGCGTTATTAGTAATAGTTTCCGAATGATTCGGAGTGCTTTATTGAGTACGAAATGATTCATAGCCGAAAGTTTCTCCTAACCACTAACTAACAATGCATATTTAGCATTTAAATTAAAGTTATTAATGTATCCACGTAAAGGATATGCTTATTATGAAGTTTTACAGTAAAATAATTCAAACCCGATACTGATCAAGTAAATTCGTATCTAATTTTAGTTCTTCGAGACGTTCTTTTGTGTTTATAATTTCTATACCACTTATCGTCCAGCTTGGATCGCCGCCGTCGGTAACATTCATTTGATTCTGAAACATCTTTCAAAATATTACTCTAAGCATTTTAAAGAAGGAACTAAAAAATTAGAAAGAATGAAAAGAAAAAAAGAATTCTTGAATATAAACAATCCGACTTACCTCTGATGTATCAGTGATATTCATTAGCATCGACACATTCCACACAGCACATTCTACCATCGTTGTCACATTTAAACCAATATCGTAAGCCTGCAGCAATGAAGGAAAGATTGATTAGTTGACACGGAGTATTCATATGCATTTCTTCTTGTACAGAAAACATTCACACGTGTCTGTTACTTACTATATTGTTACACGTAAACTTACTTGGTAAGTTGTATTTATCCATAAAATTGGTTTAGTATCAGTGCTATCGTAGTCATAAATTTCAGAAGTGTTCTTCTCATTCTCAATGGAATTATCATGATCGAGAGAAGAAAATGTTCCTTTAAAGAATTAATTAGTAGGTAAAATGAATTTACTCAAGGATATTATTTTTTAAATTTATTACTTGAACTCCGTATCATAAAGGCAGAACTAGTACAAGTATTTAGATTTTGATATTTAGATTGACTTTCTGAATATTTCCAAACTACTAAAAAGAATTATAACTTGACAAATTCCATAAATTGAAATGGTTTCAAATAAGTAGGAAATCAAGAATAGTCTGACTCTATCAAGCAATAATTGTTGTAAGAAGGTTTGGGTAGAATAGAGAAGAATTTGATACAGACACAATAATATAATCAAATCAGTACTTTCGTAGTCATAAATTATCAAATAGATAAGTGATACCACTTATTTCGCTTTCCTCATTAACAGCTCTTTCAGTAAAATTATCACCAGAATTATTTTTACTATCAATCAAATTGCTTCGTAGCAGCTTCGTTATACTATTTTCATTATCATTGTTTGCATCAAATTCGTTTCCTTTCGCAAACAAATTGGCACTGACATTTCTTTCAATAACGTTATCGCTGGGATCGTTGTTGATCACTTCATTAATCCACAGTGGTTTCTGATCACTTCAAGTGATTCTAGATTTGCTACTTTTTGGAAGCAAAATTGTTAGGGAAGTAGTGAAGTAGAAGAAAAAATTATGGTAAACATGAAAGCTTCAAATAAAAAGTACCTAGAAAATAGTATATTTAATATATATATATATATATATATATATATATATATTAGAATGATTTCCTTACATATTTTTCGCTTAATATAATTCACATAAATCATTATAACGTACGTTTAAACGTATTTAACTTAGTTTTGTAAAGTTGTTAATAATATATTGTAATTGGGGAACGTACCTTTCTTCAATGGTACCGTTGTCGTTCATATATTTGTTGGCATGAGAAATTTTCCCATTTAATAATGCAATTAGATGGGATAAAAAATAAAAGCTCACTAAAATGTTTCGTAAAAACCGGAACATTTCTTTTTGTTTGTACGATGAATCCGATAATATCAGTTTACTTTTGACATGAAATTAGGACATATGCATTTAGGATCAAACTACAGAAGCTATAATTTTAAAATTTCTGAATAACCTTAATAGTTAGTTCAATTTATATCTGTATTAATAACTTTATTATCAACTCTTAGTTATCAAAAGTATTTTTTTTAAATAAAAAAAAGCAGAATGCATTTTCATTTTCATTATCATATGAATAAAGTGTTAAAAAATAATTACTCAGCAAGCAAGCATTTTTGACTTAAATAGAAACTAAGAGAACTACGAGTGCTTAAGAAAGAAAAATAAAAACATACATGGATCGAAGTTTACCATCAAACAAAATGAATGGATTGCAAGTAAAGTAGCAATCTGTCAAATTCAATCAATTCTATAAGGAATGTTACTGAAATGGTGTAATTGTACATTAATCACCACTTTTTTATTTCTTATTTTTAAATTCTAGTGTATTGACAATTTATTTAATGTGACAACGACAGTTTCTTCATTTATTCCTTTGCCACAGTTTGGTACGACCAATATCAACACGTTCTGCTTGTCAACATTAAAATTCCTTGCTAGCTATCAATTTCAACGAAACATGAGTGAAAATATTTGTTAGTTATTTCTCCTTTCCACTTTTAGCTCTTTTAACGACATTTTTCTAAATTACTTTCATTTTTTGGTTATATATATATATATATTTTTTTAATAGCAAATTATATTCAATTCCAATTAAAAATATTAAAATAGTTGATGTTAAACATTTCTCTGCTTAAAATCTTGACGGTTTCCTTTTGATACTAAAATTAATGTTTTCAAAAGTTATTTGAATTATACTACCCCATGTCATCTTATGATCTATCACAGTTTGTTATAATCAAAATCCATTTACGTATAACACAACTAATTTCAGCTTATCTTACAACCTTATAAGGATATCTGTTTCAAAAGAATGGAATATTGCGCACTTCCTTGAAGATATTATTGTTGCTAATATTCTGATTAACTGTAACTAGTTGATAAGCAATTTATTTCAGACCAAAATTTACATACTATCACTTATTTGAAAACAATTTTCATAAGTTTGGGGCATAGAAATAATACTTTCTTGATGATACTATTGTCGCTAATATTCTGATTGTTCTGACCACTTCACAATACGAAATCTAATTATCATTGAATATATATCGATGTATAACATTTTCTGAAACAATCACGAAAGGTTAAACTTTTTTTGGACATTTTCTAGCTATCATATTTGATAGATATCAGTGGAGAAGCTAATGGTGCTTACCACTGGTCAACTGTTTCGTTGATAACTGGGTCCTTTGAAAAGCACTCGTCATAAGATGGTGGTGGGATGTCGTAGTAATTTGGCGGTAACAGAGATACTATAAAATGTTTTTAGTTTTAGCTCATTTAATTGACGGAAATAAAAAATAAATTGGATTGGAAATTTCATTCTAAGTAAAAGTGACCATCACACTTACTTCTAGTTGGTTCAATTCAAAAAATTCAATCTTTTTTATCTTTCCATTTCTTATCTCATATGAGCAATCGTACCCTCTAAAATTGATTAAAATAATGTTTTATTGCTTTATGCCCATAAAACAAATCATTGTTTGGCTTCGGTACTTGAAAATTTGAAAGCTTTACCTTTTCGAAATTTAGATTTCTGTAAAATATTTGTGTCTGTTATGGAATTTGTCCCGATGAAAATTGGTATCTGGATAAAATATTCATGTTTACTCTCAAGTTTTAAATAGTTCGATGCTTTTAAAAATATATCAAAGTATTCTACAACTTTCAAAATTAGATATGAGAATATTTCATTAAGAATACTAATAAGCACATGATAGCAAGTGTTAGGTATCACGAGAAACTAGATGTTACATATAGATAGCCTTAATCAGGCTTGAGAATCATTTAATTTATTACTTAACTGACAGTTGTTTTGAAGTATTCGATAATTGATTGCAATATGAATATTTACAATAGATGAAAAGTTCAAAAAAAGCAGACTGTCAAGGTACAGATGATATGTTTCATGTCACTGCTCATTGTAATCCTATCAAAGCCAACGTCCAGTTTGAGGTCATACTCGAGGGTCATACATCCACTGATCTCGAAGCCGGGTACCAAAGCTGGTACATTGAAATTTGGAGTATATTTATGCTTTGATCCATTCGGTATTTTATGTGCATCCATGCCAACACCTGCTATCAATTTTATAAAAGTGGAATTAGGCGGTTGCTGTGAAATGGTTAAATAGAATTAATATAAGAAAGAAAAAAAATGATTTCTAAACGAACTGAAGTATCAATTAGTCACTACAATACAGCAAGAAAAGTTAAAAGATAGTAATGAATTTACCAAGCGTATCCTGGAACCATTCTTTAGCACATTTCAACGGATGTGTCGCTATGCAGAAAACATGTTGTTGTATCGATAAATGAGAAAATTTTATAGATTTGCCAGATCTATGCAAAATTTTTCTTTAAACATTTCACAGATAAAAAGCTATTGAATGCCCAGTTCTCAAAAATTCAAATTAAAAACCTGTCATTCTGAATTTCAACAGATTCCAAACATCAGTTTAAATACCTGTTATCAATATATACTTGAACAGGTATTGCCTCGCCAGGAACCAACCAACGTTTTGAGACTGACAGTTCAACATCAAGGTAACGACCTCTAAAAGAATTTAGAAAGACATATTTCATTATGACCTTTAGCATGAAAAATTAGTCAAGTATAGCTCAGAAGCAAAATTGATATCATCTAGTGAAAATTTAAACTGAATTTTTATAGTAACTAAAAGAAATCGTAAAATAAGGATTCACTTCTTGAATTCCATTCTTTTTCTATTAGAACTATTTTGGAGTGCATCCATACATTGGGACGGATCAACTGGACATACGACTGGAAACACCAATGTTTGCTTAAGAACTAGCAAACCATAAGAAAAACATTGCACCTAAAATATGGAATTGCACTGGGATAAGTGCAGTAAATTGCTAAAAATTTGCATTTTTAATAAATGGATTAAATTTCAAAGACACTTGCATTGATGCAATATCGCACACGTCCATCACAATTCCCAAGATCAAAGGATGTGTAAAGGCCTTCTTTTGGTAATTGGAATGTAAAGTCAAATTTATGACTTCCAGTTTCGATTCCGCGAAATCCATTCCGTTCGTATTTTTTTGTTCTTATTGCGATTGTTGTTGACAGTCGTAAAATATCATTAAGCTGTGGTTTGAAAAAGAATCCTATTAATAGGTCAATTTTAAAGTATTTAATACAAAATTTTGAAATGAGATACTTAGATGAGAAACTGACATGTCACATTGATACTGCCCTATTTAAGCATTTGCTAATAGAAATTCAGATATTCGATTAATACGTGTAATATGATTCAAGTATTCGATATACATTCAAATCTTATATTATTTTCTGTGTTATATTTATCTAAACTTTACATATCTAAAGAAAGAATGCGATATTTAATAGACAATTTTTTGAGGATGAAATTTCTTCTGAATTAAGTGAAACTAACAGTTGGCTGGATTGGTCTTTTGCAATTTGTTTTTTCTTCGGACCATAATATTACGGTTTCGTCTATCAGAACTCTTTTTTGTTCACGAGGCAGAGGACGGAAACAACCATTGCCTATCTAAGCATTTAATTTTAAAACTTATAAATTGGGGGTCAATAAATTATAGGGCGGATAATTGATTAGGTCAGTGATTGAATAAAAAAGTGAGAAAATTTTATTAAATAAAGAAATATGCGAAAGTAGACCACTCGGATAGTGCAAAATTGATACAAATTAATTAATATTCTCAACTCAAGAAACCTGCCTTTTTATCTATCCAAAAAACTCGAATTAAACCGAAAAGCTGCACATTAATTAGATCACAAGATAGATTTCTTTCAAGTGTAAAGATCACTTCACCATGAATTGTGTCACCAGGATTGTAAATTTTTTTACTTAAAAGTATATCAATATGATAGGGTAAATCAACCGAAGAAGTATCTTTCATACTGGATGATGATGCCATCGTCACAATCTAAATTACGTAAAAATTAAGTATAACGTACGTGTGCACAAATGAATTGCAATAGTGAAATTGATGATATGAACAATATTGCAGGTTTATAATCTTATTTCCCATTTCGAATAGCATATTACAATGATATATATTTTAGCAGAGATCTGCGAATGATAGGATAAATTTATCCTCGAGATTGTTTTATAAGTCTGTGATACGAAAATGAGTGACCGTATACTTCAAATAAATTTTTTACAAAATGATTTTGTAGAAAATATGAAAATTGCACGCAGATTTCTGCACGGTATGTTTATGTAATTAATTACTTGCATTTAAGTGATTAATTTTTTAGATGTTATCAGCATGTCAATAGCATAAAAGAAAACTATTAAAAGAAAGTAAGCACATGAATTATGACAGAGGAAGAGAAGAGAAGAAGTGGTAAGGAAAGCAGTAAAGTCAACAGTCATTGAAGAGACATTTTTGCAAACCATGCAGGCTGACGTGTAATCGAAAATGTCATCGATGAGAAGTGCTGTGTGCATGGAACTTGTCATCGTTACACATACCAATAACAACAAAACAAATAATTCAACATTTACGGAATTTTATCAAAAACTGCAATAAAATAAATTATAATTTTTAATAGATTCGATGGAAAATCTGCAAATTATAAACTAACAAAATATCACATTTATAGTTTACAAAAATATCACATTGTATTTTCATCAGATTAGTTGCTAGTGTAGTTGTTAAATTAGTATTTCATTATTGGATGAAATATGATGGAGGATGGAGAAATTATACAGAGACCAGTTTTGCAAAATTTAATAATTTTATAAAAATTTTAATAATTTAATTTTTAATAATTTAATAATTTTTTAATAATTTATTTTAATAATCAAAATTTAATAATTTAATAATTTTATAAAAAGTTTATTTTATAATTGCACTTATTTCCTTCCATTTTTATAAAGTCTATTAAATATTTATTAGAGCTGTTCGAAACTGTCTTTGAAGTACTTCAAAATTATAACGGTAGCAACGTTTAATTAAATTATTTGAGAGAAACAATGAGTTTAATTAAATAATTAAACGATAAATCATTTCGTCATTGGGACATTGATCCATCATAGAATTAAGTCTTATCTTCTGAATCAATTTTCTCTTCTAATGCTATGTAAATCTATTCTTCCCATTATCACATACGTTGAGAGATGATAAGTGAATGATGACAATATCATAATCGTACAACGGACTCAACCATTATCAATGATTGCATGGTTTAATTTAAAGTAAAGGTCATCTGGGCTGATCACTGTCACATTATTATTACCTTTCTCCTTCTGTGCATTCCCGCATGTGGAATGGGGAGCATATTTTGATACTTCAGTTAAAATTGTTAATTAAATTATCAATTAAAATTGAAATTCACTCCATCATGTCCATTCACTTGTTAATGTTTGAACTCTTTTACTTTTTTTTCAACAATTTATTTAATTAGTTGATCATAATGAGCTAAAAATATGTATTTGCATTAGCCATGTTCTACAATTGTTTCAAAGAACGCAAATTTATGCTCTTTGAAATGTTGCTTGTAAAAGATTCCATCTCAAAACTGATAATATCAATTGGACTTATAAATATTAAAACCATTTCCAGTAATCAATAAAGTAGCATGTCTAGTATCAATATTTTTACCAGGCATAACTGAGTGATATATTAATATTTTACTCAAAACATGGAACTATTCATTTTTACAATATTAAACTAAAAATTTTCTGTTAGTAAGGAGCTATTCTATCATTTAATTAATAACAAATGAGAATAATTGTATTAATTCAAAATTAGATACTGTTGGAGTATTTTAGGTGACATTAGATTAATGAATCATTATGGTATAGCTAATGAATGTTTCTGTTTGTGTTTATGCAATGTTTTTTGATAAATCAAAATAAATGTGAGGAAGGGAAAATGAGATTGGGGGAGTAGTTTTTGATTTTTGCTGTCATGTGATAGGACAAATGACTTTGTTTTAGGGGTCGTTATTTGTGCAAACACAGTTCATCGGCCCTTTGATTTAGTTTAGGAAGGGGGCTGACTATCAGTTTGGATAAGATAACACCCGAATTGGATGACGAAACATTACTGCCACTGCTTTATAGGTCATCAGCGCAATTGGTGCGGGACAGAAGACGCAAGAGCAAAGGAAACCGTAATGATTATCCATCCATCCATGCATCCATTTTGCTTTTAGGCCGTTCTTCATCGCTTACTCTCGCTTAACTGCTCTGGGCATCCGCAATTTTAGTTGTTCATTTCGAACCTGTCACATTCTATTTTTGTCCTCTTTTTATCGTTTACTTGACCCTAATAAATTAGCAGCATATTGAAGTTCAAACATAAAAAAATTAACTTTAGAAGAACTTAGGTGTTGATAATCTTAACTTCCAAGTGTTATCTACTAATTAGATCGAAGCTGAACATAAACAGATTTCTGCTTCTTTTAATACATAATCATCAGACACTTCCGGAAATATACAGTTATGTTTCTGGATGACCTATCTGCAATATAATTGTCATATGAGAACTACTTAAGTCGGATTTCGTGGGTAAGTTCATCCAAGCATTATGTTCACATGTATTGACGGATTACTGTGCGAGTCTGCTGGAATTATTGATTAAGTTTTAAACTTCAACAGTTATTCTGTTTCTTTGAGAGTTTAAATTTATGCCTACGATGACAATATTTAGTCTGACAGTTATAAATTTCAAACAATTCTATACAACTGTTATTTCAAATTTTCAAGTAAAACAGTTCCCGCAACCGTTCTTTTCGTTGAATAGGAATAATAAAAAGGGTGATAGATGTCACATTACAGGGTGACAGAAAGCTACCAAGAGATCATTTAAGAATTTATGGTCATCAAAATTAATCTTAGGATGTCAAAAAATAGGAGGTTTCTCCTATTTTTTGATATGTAGTGCATTTCTATCAAAGAATCAGAAAAGAAAGAATACCCAAATAGAAAATGGTGTAATTTCTTACTAAATAGGCGATCATATAATGAAGGGTGGACAGGCACAGTAATGATTTGTAACAAATCCGAACAGTCATTCTTCTTTTTTTGAAATGGATCTTTCTTCAAAAAAAGCATACCTTTTTTCTTGTGGGAAATAATTGTTAGATATTTATTACAAATAAAACTTGCAGGAGTCAATACTTCCTTATTACGTTAATTCTCGGAATTTTTCCTTAACAAAATATGCTTTTTGAGCAATGCCACTTTGAATAATTTAAAATTCAAAATATGAATTCAATACAAAAACCATTTTTTGCCTTATTCTCTAGCATCAATTGCTAGTATGGATGGGTCATAACTTGTTAAAAACTGAGATACAGAAATTAATAACTATTCTTGTCTCTTATTTTACTGAGAGCAATTTGTTGGCTGGAACAAATTTCAATTTGAATATTACTTCTCCATTATAGCTACAAACTTTTTTGAATTTTTTAATTTTTATAAAAGAATCAAGAGCAATGTAAAATAAGGTTTTCTTAACAAAGTCATTTTACATTCATACTTGTAAAATCAAAAAATTGGATAGAAAAAACTGTGCAACGATTTCTATTTTTTTAAAAAAAATTTCATGTTCATAATTTTCTCTCATCGGCTATTATCATCAAAATTGTTTCATGGAAAAATAAAATATATGTACAATACCGAACAATTATTTCATTGTATTGCTAAAATCTTATAATTACTAATTGTCAATTTTTACTTTCCGATTTTTCAATAGTTCGTCAGTCATAGCTTTTTAAATGATTTTTCAAATGCTTGAATTGAATTTTATTGCAGACAAAATTAACTAATATCAATGTATTCAATTAGACGTGAAATATTACTGATATATTTTTGAAATCGTAAAAAAATTTTAATTGAAATTTCTAGGAGCAAGACTGTTGAACTACGAACTCCCTGCAGAGGGAGATGAAGCCAAGAAGTGACACTGTCTATGTGAAACATCTGTCTGGTATTTCGAGTGACATCAAATGCGACATGCTGAATAGCAGTGTGGTAGAAGTTCGTCGTGAACGTGCCTTCAAATGTATTATCTCTGTTGCAAGTACCTTAAGTATTTCCAGCTTGCTAACCCTTTGTCTTGTAGCGCCATCCGCGTATAATTTTGTTGACAACATGGGAACATTCACCAGGCAGGATTTCGCCTTCTGTGAAGTATGTTTAGATTGATACAACTTTGAAATCAGTCATCTATTTGTTTCTTATAAAATTTTTATATAAAGCATTTATTCCCAACAGACATCTGAAACTGATTCCGTTAAATAATTAACACATTCTGTTTCTCAAAACTGTCCAAAGCTTATCAGTCTAAGAGGACCAGAATAACACATAACTCTAAAGGAAGTTAATGATTAATCGGTTTCAAAAAAAAAAAATAGAAGCTAAAAAGCAACACAACAACGCAGTTCGTAACATACTGTGCTAATGAAATGCCAAAATAGTAATGATTGAAAGTGAACTTTTCGGCTAAGAACAGTAGAAAATTAGAGATTTTCAGTCAAAAATGAATGAATGTGAATAAGACTTGATATAATCACCATTGATCTAATGTTTTCATTAATTCAATTTTTTGTCACATTTCTGCCAGTATCTTCTTCGAAAGAATTCAGTTGGAATTCTTGGGTTACTGGTAGTGTGTCAAATGAGAAAATTCAATGAAATATGCTAAAGTCGTTGATTTCATCTACGAAGTGAAAGATATTAAATCAAATAGACTAGAAGAAAGTAGAGGCATGCAGTACCTTCAGGAATTCTGTTTGACCACTTCTTTCCATTAATTTTTCTGGCAATATGTAGAATATTTGTATCTCAGTGTAGAAATTACTAAATTTGAGAAATAAAATTTCTTTTTTGTACTTATAAGAAATGGAAATAACATTTTGAATTGAATTAATTATTTAACTTGAATATTAAATCAAATATTAA